CGGCAGACGAGTTTAGTTTTTTTCGCCTATTCGATTTACATTAAAGATCCATATTTTAATTTAATTTTCGTATTCTATTTTGGATGTTCAGTCGTCCCGAACGGGATGGCCCGTGACAAAAAGTTCTTCAATCAAACACTGCTGCGAGCTTCACGCGTTACTATGTATATACAATTCGCTCTGGCTGTTGTCTGCGATCGAAGGCCTCCGCCTAAATCGTATCCGCTGCGTCTTCGCACCACCTGTTTCGAAATGATTCGGCGATCTACACATATTTTCAAATACCGTACCTTATAATATTATGCGAAATAAATCAGACGCTCGCAACCTTTAAACGTGGCCGCAGCGGGGCGGTAAAGTGGTCGGGGCATAAACATTCGTCGCCGCTCGTTAGTTACACGGCCGTCTGCGCCAAAATCATGGTTTAATTAGAAGGCCATGGTTTCATTATAGTTTCCGTAACTCCCATCGCGTACCAGCGTGTGTAAATATGCTTTTAACGAATTTCCAACCAAGAAACTTTTAAAACTACCGATCAATGAGCGAAGGTCACTAAAAACTTCTTTGTCAAGAAAAGTATTCACTGCAAAGTTTTCGCTATCGTGGCAGCATTATATCCTACATAATACGTAGGTATATAGCACTGTGCATTAAAAGGCATCGGGGCTGCGGGATGGGTTACATAGATTTATTCATTTTCTTTTCAAAAGTTCCAGGTGGGTATAGCTACCGTATGATATATTGGCAACAAAATCCGTTATTTTGTTTATTGTTACATAATTATTTTAATTTTCGATCGAATTCCACCTCGCCGGCAATAACTAGAAAATTAATCGCTCTCGCGTGCATCACAATACGGGTTTTCCCTTATTTTCCCAAATTTTCTCAAATTTTCCCTACCCATTCGACAGTAGGTATACTATACTATACTGTTCACCCAAAGCTTTACTTGTAGGTAGACCAAACGTGTACTTGATGATTAATATTGTCTAATTTTAATAGGTAGGTGATCCAATGTTTATATGAGAGAGTTGCCAAATCGGTGAACAGTTTCTATTGGCCAGCTGATTTCGTTGATAATGGACTCCACCGATCGTTTCAATTTGTATATCACTCACCAATGTATACATTAATATAGTTGTACATTGTATTTAGACGACGATTTAACTTCAATAATACCTGTGTAATTATGAAATAATAGTGTATGTCATGATTCATTATTTGCAAGGTTTTGTTATTGGTATACAGTATATGCAGTTTACGTGTGTTTAATATTTTATACATTGACTGGTTTGAATTTTGATTCGACCATAAATCTTCTAATGAACCTTGAATAATAACAGCAATATATTATTATAGGTACTATATAGTCTATGATTTTAAAGTTGTAAAAACCGCGGGAATTGTTTGGATGGTTAATGACTGGTATCACACCTGCAATGACCAGGTACATATTATTATTTGATGCATCAATGCTCTCCATCTCTATATAGGAGTGTATAACGACGACGGGCCACGTCGTATTATTTTACCGTATAGTGTGTCGTAGTAAGTTTCGGGGGACAAGTCGTAAAAGTCAATTTTCGAAGATTGATGAAACAAATGATATTATATCATTATATTCTAATATGTGCAGTGTACGATAGGTATTGACTAACACTCGTTTATAATTGTATTGCACCCGGCCGTCGTTATTGCAGCCATAGCGCCGCCACAAAAGAGTCGGAGAATATCCACAGCTCGAATGATTCAAATAATTATTAAACAGCTCGATCCGCTTAAAAACACACCACTTACCTATAATTTCCACGTCGTCGTCGGTGTGACGCAAATGCGCACAATATGCGGCGTTATCATTTCGCATGGATTTCCGGTCTGTACACTTGCAACACTGCGGAATTTCGGAACAGCGATAACTACAATAATAATAATAATAATAATAATAATAATAATAATAATAATAATAACAATAATGATATACGTCCATACAACGCGCAATAATACATTACAATATTATTATAGTGAATACTACTACGCCACGCCGAGCAGATATTCGGTGGCCCGAGGACATTATTATTATTATTATTGTTATTATCTCGAAAGATGAACGAGAAGAGTATAAATCTCGTCGGTGGCGGTGGCGATCATTACGGCGAGAGAACGGAGGGATTCAATTTTCTGATAAATAAAAGCGTTTTCAATGTTTGTGTGTTCGTGTCCGCGCTACCGATTCGCTCTCCTCCCCAGTCGCTACCGCGTATACCGAAGAATACCAGGACCGGGGTGCATACGACGTGAGATAAAAACATTTTTTTTTTTTTTTTATAAATATATATACATACGTATTATAAGCGCAAAAGTTGCTTTGTAGTGAATAATATATCTGTTCTGACCAGTTAAAGCCATTTCTGGTGTCAAATAACTTACCCACAAACGCACACACGTTGAATCGTACCAACTCTTTTCCTCTCACTCGAGAATACACCATTGGCGTGTGAGTAAAACATTATTCGCCGGTTTTTTAAAAAAAATTTTCATTCACAATATTTTCTTGCTTGTTCGTAAATAATTTAATGTTCGCAATTTCGTGAAATTATTACCACCTATAATTATTAATAATATATAAAATGTTTGAAAAACACATTATTTCTGTACACATAACGTCGTAAAAAAAGGCGTAGTAATAATATTATTCCCGAATAATGATTATTATTGTAAATCAAAAACTTAAAACCTATAGTACCAATCTATACAGCTATACCTACTGTACTCGATTAATGAACTTCAAATACGTATTTGCCGAATTACTTGTATTTATGGATTTGTTTTTTTTTTTTGATTTGACCTAGTGCAAGAAAACACTAGACTAGTGATATAGGCATTGAAAAAAAGAAATACCTATTTAAAACAATTAGTAGAAATTAAATGTGTTAGAATATAGAATGGGTCGCTGAACGGCAAAATTGAGTTTGATATCCGAGTATAATTATATAATCATATTTTAGAGATATATTTTATGTATTGAACAATATTAAACATTATTAAATTACTTATAGTATTATGTTTCATTTAAAGCCTTAAGTGGAGGATTATTATCAGAGTATATTATTTATTTTAACTTTTAAGTATGTTTTTATTTTTGATATTTAAAAATATAACATTGTCTGTGTTTATGGAATATGTGGTGTAATAAATTGATAAGGTACCTTTTTGACAGGTGGGTAAAATCTTATCAAATAATACATATTAATAGTGCCTACTTAGCACACCATCAGAAGGGAAAGCTATAATTTAATAAGACGTAATAATATATCCATTACAGTTAATCTTGAATATTATATTGAAATGATTTATTTTTGGTAAAATAAAAAGTGCCTTTGGGACATTATTTTTAATTATAAAAAATGTCGAAAACTTGTTAGACGAATTGGTCATTTCATCTGTTTAAAAACAAAATGTGTATAAAGTTAATGAAGTCGGAATTCTTTTCAAAGAGATTTGATTAAAGCAAACAAAATTCAAGTCGGACACATTCGTTTTGTTTTGATTAGTGGTACCGTTTTCAAGGAAAAATTAAATTAACGCACTTATACCACCTAGTAATTAAAGAACATAATATAATTACACGCCTAATAGGTATAATTATTATTGTTTGAATACTATTTTTTTCCCACTGGCGTTTATGCGTTGTAATAATATTATGTTTTATTTTTTACTTTTTATTAACAAATTTATAAAGATATAAACAATTACTTCAAACATCTCGTACACCGCATTCGGTTGGTTCTTCGGAGAGCTAATTTTAATTTGAATCCGTCACTATATGTTTTGTCGTATATTGGTACGGAGAAAGTAATATTATGCGCCATGCGAGCGATCATATTCCGCTTTATTCGTTTATTTAGATTATAAAATATAACGCACAAATCACAAACCACGCTTGAAACATTACAATATCAACAATGATCTCGAATCATTCCAGAGAGATAACACGAACCGTACGGCTACCATCATGTACCACCTGTTTAATAACACTCCGGTACCGAACCATTGATTCGCGCAGTCTCAAACGACAATATTGTTTCCGTCGTGTGTGTTTTGTACTTGTCGCCGTATTGACACGAAGACAAGACGGAAATATAAAGGTCCATATTATATACGTCGCGGAGACGACCGTGCATTGGGCTTTTGGCGAATACCGACGCAATATATTTTTATGAACAGAAAACCCGGGCCGTCTATCAAATTATACCTTTGAAAACTTCACACACCAATGAGTTTTTGATACGTGACAATGAATAATATCGCACACAATAATGTATATTAATGTCGAGTCGAGTTAAGTAGAAGTCATAAACTTCGGAAACAACCAAACGCGTGGGTGGGGGTG